TTTATTTATTTATTTTTGTTTATCAAGTTTATGATATGAAAAAGACATGAGGGTCAGAAAATAGGCATGACACGCCAACACATGGGAAGTATTGTCATAGGGAACATACATGACCAGGCATGGCCATCGTTAAGCGTGACTCTAGAGATGGCGCCTGAAGCACCTGTGGCTCAGCCCCTTCGTCTTTCGCGTTTGCACGAGGACGCTCCGTTTCCTCCGCAGTTTGCTCACCAGGGACCCAGCGAACTGGATGCAGGGACCCCGGGGAGTGTATGGTGGAAGCTCTCCAGCTCCAAAGCCGCGTCACTTGGGTCTGCTTCACTTTTAAGCGCCATTTCTTGTGTCAGCGCACGTCCTTATCTCTGTCCTGAATGTCCTTCCACATGTTCCATAAGCTATTTGGCCATTTTTATGCTCTGACCTCGGGTTATATTTTAAAATCTGAGGTTGCAGGAATCATGTGTCACATGTAGGCTGACTTTGTAGCTGTTTTCCTGGTGAGCTCAGTTTGCATCGACACCGGTTGGATGGTTACAGTCTCTGGTGGGAGGTAGAGTGTCTGTGTGTAGCACAGCTTCTATTTGGATAGAAAGCACCCTCTGTGAGGGTGATGAGGCCGCTGTGTGCTCACTGGTAAGTGTTTTCCTCGTAGAGAGCGTGGCTTGCAGCGCAGGGCGGGGCTGCGGGGAGCTGGGTTTCCTCCCGGCAGTCCGCACAGGCTTCATGGGGAATGAACTTTACAAAGAAACGGGAATGGAAATCATATGCGTATTTTGACACAGAAGCTCGCTTTTGCAATCATCGTTTGGCAAGGCGGAAGGAAGGTTAAATTAGATTCATGTTTAAGACAAAGCTGATAAGAAACAAAGGAATCTAGTCCTTTAAATTTTCTTTAAACAGGCTGGCAGACACGGTGCTTAGAAATGGAAACATTTAACCACAAATGTAGACAGTCAAATATTTTGATCAAAAAGTACTAATTTTACACCCTCAACATTTTTCTTAGCTTCCCAAGGTGCCATCTTTGAATTTATTGGCCTTCCATTTCATGCATGAAGATCTAGTTTAATGGAAAAAATACTGGAGGCCTATTGCGGGGGATTTGATGTTAGTCAACAGTAAAAATGTGCTTGTGTCAGAAATCGTGTTTCATACAAAACATCCATTAGAGTGAGAAGAACAATTGCCCGTGAAGATGGCTTAGGAGACTCCTGGGTTAGGAGATGTTCTTCTAAGAGTTTTCTCCTTCAAGTGTATTTTTATCTAAAAATTATTCCTTCTATCAATCATGACATATGTTCTGCTTACTGAGGTCTATGTGTCCTTGTGGGTGATAGGAACAAGGAAAGGCAGGTATGTAAATGATAGATAGATAGGAGGATAGATGATAGGTAGGTAGATAGGTCGATAGATAGATGATAGATAGACAGATAGGTAGATGAGAGATAGATAGATGAGAGATAGAAAGATAGAGGATGTGCCTAGAATGGTATAAACACATATACATTTTGTTATTAAATCCTCAGATGATATCTATGAGTGAAGTAAAATTACCTAATATTATCAGTTAGAGAACGTGAGGGAGTGACCTCCAGCAATTGAAATTGCCAGGAGCTCATAGCTAATAACTAGCTAATAAATACTGAAAGCAGCAATTAAACACAAGCCTGTCTTTTGTCAGAAGTTGTCATTCTTAACCAATCACTATACCAGTATATCCTTTTATATACTTGTTTATTTGTGTATACACAGATATGCCCATACACACATAACTACCTGCATATGCATGTATGTGCATACACACAGATAATTGCATGTTAAACAGTGCACATCTAAGCTGCACACACCTGTGTATACGTGGTTATGT